AATTGCACTTAAAAATTGCAATAAAAAAATACTTTGTACCAAAAAAATTAAAAAAATATACTGGGTGATTCTTTTATCAAACACTCATTATTTCAAAAAGTGTAAATTTTTTTGAAAATATTTTTTTACATAGTTTCAAGTCGCTTATAAAACAACGTTTTTATTAAAAAATTATATTTTTAAATATTTTTTATCCTTATAATTTTTTAAGTTTTTTACTTTTTTGAATGACAACATAGGGTTTTAATTTTATATTCTAAAGTAGATTATTTTTCTTAGTATTTTGATACATGAAAATTGAATTTGGAGCGAGTAGTTTATGAGTTATAAGTATTTAAAGTTTAGACGAGCAGTGAAGTGGACAAACATTTCGCGGGGTAACCCCGAACCACTCCACTCCTCTAGTCTAAACTTTAAATACTTATAACTCATAAACTACTCAACCCAAATTCGATTTTCATGTATCAAAATACTAAGAAAAATATTCTGCTTTGGAATATAAAATTAAAACCCTATGTTGTCATTCAAAAAAGTAAAAAACTTAAAAAATTATAAGGATAAAAAATATTTAAAAATATAATTTTTTAATAAAAACGTTGTTTTATAAGCGACTTGAAACTATGTAAAAAAATATTTTCAAAAAAATTTACACTTTTTGAAATAATGAGTGTTGTTTGATAAAAGAATCACCCAGTATTAAAAAATTATTTTATGAAATGGATTAAGTCATTTTATTAAGTAATATTAAAAAGTTTTATTAGGTAGGTTTTAAACGAGTAGATAATAAAAAAGATTCAGATTCAAATTCTCGTCAGTTGTCATTAAAAATCTGGTAAATAGTCCGGTCTTCTTATTTTTTCAGAAACCTATAAATAATTTTATCAAAATTTAAAACTTTTTATTTAAACTATTTTTATTTTTTTTTTTTTAAAACTTTACCTTACCTTAAACCTGTATAATCTTACAAAAAAAAGTGAAAACACAAAAAAATACATAAAATTGTATTGAAAATGACGACAATCAACAAAATTGCAATAAAATTGAAAAAAGATCAAAAATTGCAAAAAGTTGCACTTAAATTTTTTATATATTAATTGGTACTCGTTTGAAACAAATTTATAACGTACTTAGCAACGAATCCGAACAATAGAAAAAAAGTTGCAAATGCAACAACATTCGAGCCCTAATTATAACCAATATATTTACATGATTGATTAAGTTTTTTTAAATAATACCTACGATTTATTAAACCTAATTATATTTAAAACAGATTATATAACAATAAAAATGACAATTTTAAAAATATTTACATAGTATAACAAGATCCGATGAATTTTGTAATATTTTATTAGGATAATTATCAGTTGCTGTTTTTCAATGTTTAGCCTTATTGCTGTAGAAATAAACGGAGTGTTTAGAGTTAATCGAAGTTTTTACTTATGTATATTCTGCAGTTTAGTGAAGGTTTCATATTGATAACACCAATATTCGGTCGGGAAGACGTCGAAGTAATAACTTTCCCGATTTTGTTTCTATTCACGCCATTTTGCTGAATTATTTGTATAATTTTTTAGAATTACCTATACATAATTATTAATTACTATTACTATGTATTTAACTTAAAAGTGTAATCTAAATAAGGTAGGTACTTTGAAAAAAAGTATAATATTTTGCTCTACCTGTTTATTAGAACGTTTTATCATTTTTTGAAATAACATTTATGGGGCCTTATAGATTCTTCTATATAAAATATAAATGCATCCGGGGCCCTTTAAGTGCCAGTCGGCAAAAACACTGACTGGCGACTGCTACTTGCTAGACAGGGGGCCACGACAAGGTACAGCACACATCCCCTTTTGAGTTTTGACAGTTTATTGATTTCTTTACTAATTTGTGTATTATTATTTATTACTATATAGGTACTCTGTTATTATGTATTATTTTTTATTTATCTTATCTTTAGTTTGTTTATCTTTGTACTCCAATACCATTCCATTGCAATAAAAACAAACACGATAATAGATATAAAACAATGAATACTGACATACCTACTGTAATATAACACAATTTATTAAATCAAAACATTGGTATTTTCATAACAGCGCAAAAAGTATGTTGAAAAGGCGCAACACCTAATTTTCGGGAAAATATTCGTCAGGAACTTTTAAATTCGAAAAATATTTGTCAGGAATAATACTTTTATGATGGGAAAAAATATTATTAATTAATCATAGCTTTTAATTTTCTGGTTAAATGTTAGAATTATATAAGATTTTCGTGATCTAAAACGAAATGTATTTATGTAATTGGCAACTGTGTAATAGCCGCCCTGTAACAATTATTAGTAACCACTACTCAGGTTGAAAAATAAACTTATAAATATTCTCTACAAACTATAAAGTCTGAATAGGAATAGAGGTATATACCTGTGCGTGCCGAAATTTAGTGCCATTTGGATAACTGGTAGCCTGTAAGCAAATGCACAATTATGTTCATATTAAAAACAACAACGACATAGGTATAATACGTTTCTACAATGGTATATACATTTTAATAAATAAAACAAGAATAGATTCTTTAAACATAATAACAAATAAAAATGTTATATATTTAATGTTAAATGTACTATTTAATAATTTAATTTTTTTATTTTTTATTCCCAGCAAAGCAAAATAATGTATTGATTTTATAATATAATGGTGTGTGTTTTTTTTCTGTATGTCATCACATTTTAAGGCAGTAAAAATTCTCCGATTTATAATAGGCAAGAATTTTTATAAGTATTTAAAGTCAAAATGTCGACAAAATTAATTTAAATCACGAAAATGTGCAAATTATGAAATCTATAAATCTATAAAATCTATACAATTTGTATAGCTTAAGGATTGAAAATTTAAAACATAGTTTCTCATAAGAAGTTCATAGATACTGTTACCAACAAATCTAAAAAGCTGGTAAGTGGATGTCGCTCTGCTGTACAATAGGTTTCAACTTTCAAGTGGGTCACTGCAGTATAATGGATGGTATTAAATTTGAATTTAATGATATAATATAACATTGTAGGTATACGAAAAACGATTCTGAGCAGTGACAGTGTGTCAGTGTGCATATTTTATATTACATTTATTTTATATTGTTATTACCTACTTATTATATCAGTACCTACGGTAGCCGGTAAGTTGAATTAATATTATAAAAATACAACAAAATAACTATTAAAATAAACTGTGTTGATGTATTTTTTCGATTTTTTGGCAACAGAATTAATTATGTCCATGGAATTTTGTTTTACATTTTTAATCCTCAGCTATAAAAGTTGAACATTTTATACATTTTTAACTATTAATAATTTGCAAATTCTCAATTTGATAAATTTCGTCGAAATTCGATATTTCAATGATTATAAAAAAAAATTGTGCATATGTATTTTTTATATTTTTCAACTGCTATTGTAACAATATATCAGGAGCAGTTTATTAAATTTTGACGCTTTTTGGCCCAACAAATATAACTTAATTGATGTTTATATAAAAAAAAAAAACTAAAAAAATTTAATTTTGAAATTGCCCGTAAACAGCTCAAAACAAGTATAGGAATTGATAAAATATACATATTATGATATAAATTTCATGAGTCTACGATTATTCGTTTTTGAATTACAACAAAATAAGAAAATCGGTATATGAGAAATTGAGTGAATATCCAATGTTGTAAAAATGTGAACTTTAAACGCTCATAAAAATTTTATTTGATTTATTTGTAGACATTTTTTTTTTATAAAGGTAGACAAACTTATGTGGAATCTTGAATTACATATTTTCATATCTTAGATTTACAAAAAAAATTTGTATGAATTCATAACTCAAAATAATTTGTTAAGGATTTTTAATATTTTTTATATGCCATACATTTGAACTTTAAATGCTTATAACAAAAAACTGTGACTAAGGATTTTTAATATTTTTCAAATATCAGTGTAACAATATAGTATAGGAGCCTTGTATTAAATTTTCAAGCATTTTTACTCAACAAATAGTTTTATTGATTTCATAGAATAAAAAACTAATAAAATTGAAAACTGAAAATAACCCTAACCAGTTCAAAATAAATCAATATATTTTGAAAATTTTATCGTGTAGGTATAGAAAGTGCTAATATAAACATAATTCAGTCATAATTGCATGTATTTACGATCATTTGTTTTAAAGTTACACCAATCTTATGTACCTACATGCATAATATGATCACTCTGTTTTATGTTTTTAAGTAATCTGAGTTATTCAATTATACAAAGATATAAATACATATAATATGGGAATGTCCGAATGTGTTAGTGTGTTGGTATAGTTAGGCAGGTATTAAAAGTATAAACTATAATATATTACATTAAATAGGTATACTGCGCAAACAGATTCGACATTTTGGGTGGCTGAAGCTCAGGTCTATTTATTGGATATTCCAATATTTCAATTCTATAAACATTAAACATATTACATGTAACTAGGTTAAGACAACAATAATGTAATAGGTATAATAACAATTAAGTATAAATGTATAATTTAATCATAGGGCAATCGACATTCGATAGTTATTCGATTTTAAGTTTAAGATATAAGGAAGGCAAACGTCGAATTGGTTCCCGGGTCAATTAAAGTGTACGAATTGGTTCCTGACAAAAAAATACTTTCCAGTATACAACTTTACTGTTCGAATTGGTTCCCGAATAAAATTACTTATCAGTTTATCAGTATACAAACTCACTGTTAAGGTACGGTTTCCCTTGTGCGATCGCGATCGCGAACCGCGAACGCGGTCAGCGAACGCGAACTAAGAATTAAGATCGCATTCGCGTCATGTTGGTTTGCTCTAGACGATTCTACGTCGCGACCGAAATATTTATAATTTTATTTTAACAGTCGTCCGTCAGTCGTACTCGATATTTTGAAGTGCTAAGTTCACGGTGTACGAGTAGGTACTGTTCGTATTTAAAAATTATTATAATGGATACAGTCGATAAAGAAATCTTAAAAATGATTTTGCTAGAAGAAGAAGAAGATGATGAGATCTTGAGCTGGTATTTGTCGGAAGAAAAAAGAAAGCAGCATGATCCATTATTTACAAAGAGGAGTACCGAAGGTTATCACGAAATACTTATCAACGGTCATCTGAAAAATAATGAAATCAAGTTCAGGGAATTTTTTAGATTAAACCGTCATCAGTTCGATTTTATTTTGAATCTAATAAGGGACGATTTAACATTAAATCCAACATTTTTTATAAGGAAACCCATATCACCAGAATAAAAATTGGCGGTTACATTGAGGTAAGTACAATTTTTAAATTAGATACAGATAAATTAAAATTAAATAAGAACTCATATTTATTTATGGAATACTGTTGTTTTATTTTAATATACAATTTGTATCAAAGTTAAAAATAAATCAATTTTCTATCATTACAAATTAAAGGTACTTTATCATATTATATTTCATTGACTTAAAATTAATTTAAAAAAAAATCAAAATACCTTATAAGATAATATTTTAAATTTACTGAGAATTTGTGTTCCATTCATTACTCATATTTTGAACTGACTGGAAAGGCGTAAATGTCGTTGTATTTGTTGGTCCAAACTGTTGTTGGATACTCGAATATGATGGTGAATCTAGTGAAGGTGGACTATAACTATATGGAGTAAAGTTGTTAGAGTATGGTGAGCTACTAGTAGAATTATTTGACTGTAATGATACTCTGCTACTGTTAGGTATGATGTGGACGTTATGTGTATAATTATCAGCTTGAAGTTCCAAGTCAGTCACAATTGTCAACATTTTCAATTTCGCCTGTGAAATTAACTGTGGTGGCAACTTTTTGACAGATAGAGCTAAACTTTTGAAAAAATGATCAACCTCATCGTACTCGTCCTTATTTTGTTTAGCAATCAGTTGCGTCATCAGCTCCGTTCTTTCCTTTGATCTTTTGTCCAATAATTCAGTGACTTTTAAATTTTTTCTTTTATTAGTCGGTTTTTGTGATCTTGAAGTCGATGGAGATTGAGGATCTTGCGTTATTGGTGATGACTGCAGTATATCATCTTGTGTGATATTTATTTCCTCTTCGTCTGAGCCAGAATCTTCGTTATTATCAGTATCAAATATATTTGATATAGTGCTGTTAAAATGAATAATAAATAATAATAATTTGGTATTATATAGCCATTGCACTAGGGCAAGGATGTTGTTGCATTTGCATTTGCATTTTTTTCTGTTTCAATTTATTGTTAAGTAAGTTTTAAATGTGTTGAATGTAAATACGAATTAAAATCTAAAACTCGTAGGTGCAATTCTATGCAATTTTTGGATTTTAGATTCTGAGTGAAACGATGAATGTATTGATTATAAAATTACAATGATGTGTGTTTTTTTTATTTATTTATTTTTTTTTGTATCTGTGTACACGATAAGTAGTCGAAATAATGCTTCGATTTTCGACTTCAGTATCTTGTTCGATGTGAATATCGTTGGTGCATTGGGGAGGTCAAAATTTAAATTCGCAATAGTTTTCAAAAGCGCCGGGAAAAACAACATGAAAATTAAGAAAAAACGGGAATTTTTACGCAAAATTGGTTTTTAACTCTAAAACAAATGAACGTATATACATGAAATTTTCACTGGTCGTTTATATTCGCATTTTCTATACACTATAAAATTTTTCAAATATTTTGACTCTTTTTGAACTGTCAATTTTATTAGTTTTTTTTTTTTAAATATCAATAAAATGTTATTTATTGGTTAAAAAACCTTGAAAATTTAATACAAGGCTCTTAGTATTTTGTTTCAATGGTAGTTAAAAAAAATTAAAAATCCTTAGTCACAATTTTTTTTATAAGCGTTTAAAGTTCAAATCTTGACAAAATACGGAAAAATCACGAAAATTAGCAAATTATTTAAAGATGAAAATTCGTAAAAATTTTTCTTTTGAAATCTAAGGTTTGAAAATGTAATACAAGATTATTCATAAGTTTGTTTACCTTTATCAAAAAAAAAAAGTCTACTAGAAAGTCAAATTGAATTTTTATGAGCGTTTGAAATTCATATTTTTACAACATTTGATATTCACTTGATTTCTCATGTAAAGATTTTCTTATTTTGTTGTAATTAAAAAACGAATGACTGTAGATACTTGAAAATTTCACTGAATATTTATATTAGCATTTTCTAAACACGATAAAATGTTGAAAATAATTTGACTCTTTTTGAGCTGTGTACGGACATTATCAGTTTTTCATTTTTTTAGTTTTTTTTTCTATAAATATCAATAAAATTTTATTTGTTGGGTAAAAAAGCGTGAAAATTTAATACAAGGCTCCTGATATATTGTTACAATATCAGTTGAAAAGTATTAAAAATACATAGACAATAATAATAATAACTGTCAAACAATAATTTATTGAATGATTTTATGTAAAAAAATAGTGAAGTTGAATAAAAACTAATAAAATTGGAAAATGAAAATGTTCTTAAACAGTTCAAAACAAATAAAAAATTTTTTAATTTTATCTTGTACAGAAAATTTGAATATAAACAACCAGTGAAAATTGCATGTATATATACGTTCATTTATTTTAAAGTTGCACCAAAAAATTCCCGTTTCTCCTTAATTTTTCTTTTGTTTTTCGCGTTGATTTTGAAAACTACTAAGAAGTTTTTACTTTTGACCCCCCAAACTACCAACTAGATTCACTTTCCTATCAGAAAAGTTACTGTTGAAGAAAATCCAAGCATTTTTACTGTCCTAAAAGGTGATGCTAGACACAAAAAAAAAATTTTAAACAAAACACACATCATTGTAAAATCAATACATTCATCGTTTCGCTCAGAATCTAATATAAAAATTAAAAATAAAAAAAATAAAAAAACACACATCATTGTAATATCAATACATTCATCGTTCTAAACTCAGAATCTAGAATATGTATCAAAAAATTTAAAAAAAAAAACAAATTTTGGAATAAGTCAATCACTCTTTATGATATGCAATAAGGTACTTACTTTCTTTCTTGTGGTACTGTATCCAAAAAAGTTAAAAATGGTGCTAAATGCCATTTTGAGGGTTTTGAAGAGGCACTTGCTCCAGTATTCATTTTTCTGGCCCGTTTATTTTTTAAATAGGCATCTTTAATATTTTTATACCTTCTCTTGCAGTCTTCATCTAGTACAAATAAATATTCATAACCGATTTCAAACAAGAGTTATTAAAATACTGTTTTATAATAAAAACATAAATTATAAAAAAAAATGATAAGGTACTTGCAACAAAATAACAAATGAAACTTAAATTTGTTTTAAGGTTAAACATAGAACGCATCTGTAATTGGTAAGCAGATTAAAAAAAATTACATTTCGTAACCGTTAACAAATAAAATATTTATAACATACATTGTTGTCGGTTATTTAGTTATTAGTACCTACTATGTAATAACAGTATATTTTGATTCAAATAAATAAAAAATGAAATATATTTATTTATTAAATAATAATGACATGTATATAATATATTTTTTTTCAGATTTTTAGCTTCTGGAGAAACGTACCGTTCTTTATCTTTTGCTTTCCGTATATCACACAGCTATATTAGTATTATAATACAAAATACCTTAAAATCTATGAAAAAGCATCTGTTACCACTTTGTATACCTAATCCTAGTAAATTAAATATGAAAGATAAAGCCCAAGAGTATTGGACAAGATGGAATTTCCCAAATTGTATTGGCGCAATCGACGGTAAACATATTCGAATGAAGTGCCCAAAAAATACCGGTTCATTATACTTTAACTACAAAGAACATTTTTCCCTCGTCTTATTAGCACTAGTAGATGCGAATTGTAAATTTTTAGTCATTGATGTTGGATCCTATGGCAAAGAAGGAGATAGTGGCATATTTGGAAAATCAAAAATGGGACAGCAAATTTATTCTGGAGATTTTAATTTTCCAGGCGACTAAAAACTACCAGGCACTAATAATTCTACACCATTTGTTATTGTTGGCGATGAAGCATTCAGACTTCACAAGCATATCATGAAACCATATTCTAGATCTACAGCTAAACAAGACAGAGCAAAAACTATTTTTAATTACAGGTTGAGTCGTTGTCGTAGAGTGACGGAAAATGCATTTGGCTTATTAGCACAAGTTTTTAGAATATTTCATACTGCAATAGGAATTGATGTAGAAGTATGTGACGATCTAGTAACTGTCGCATGCTGTTTGCACAATATGTTGAGAGATGCGTTTTTGGAAAAAGGTAATAAAATTTTTTATGAATATGACGAAGGACAGACTACTGAGATGGGCACTTTATGTAGTAGAGGTGGCTTTGCGAGTGCAGATGGTTTTGATGTGAGGGAAAAATTTAAACAATTTTTTATTCAAGAAGGAACAGTCTCGTGGCAAAATTATCAAGTTTCCAGAATATCATCTACCAATACTTAAATATTATACTTGTAATTTGTTTTTTTAAATAAATAAATAATTAGTTTTAACTGCTGCTAAGTATAGGTTGATATTTATAATATTAAATATAAGTGACGGTCTCACACAAAAATTCTAACATTTTACAATTATTTGGTTTTTTTTAAATAATTCATAATACAAAATATATATTATGGAGATTAAAATTAGTTTTAAACACGATAAAAATAAATGTCCAGAAAATATAATTTATTTTTAGCTTAACGCGTACCTATAGAGAAGTACACAGTCCCTACACGTGCGTGTGTATTCATAACTTCTAAAATAGGTACCTACTCATTCATAAATAGACAGTGTCAACTGTCAAGGTATTTACTTGAAAATAATCATTTATTTTAAACTTGAACGATCTGTTGTACACGTCTTTTTCTACTCATAAATCATAATATTATAATAATGATATTCAAATTAAATATACTATAATCTCAATGCATTATTTGAAAAAATTATTTATACCATTATAATATATTTTTATTCATACGAATCTAATATTTTTTACAAACAATATTTATAATATTTTGCTTACCACTTCGCCCAACGTTGCCACTTATATCCTTCCAAATTGCATCTCGTATATTCAAATCTTTATAATCCCTATTTTTGGGATTATAAATTGGGGGATGTTTGGCTACACATTCAACCAATATCTCGTCTTGCTCCTTATTGAACTTGACCATCGCAGAACTCATGTTTGAACAACCGATGTCAACGAGTGTTCAAACAGAAATGAAAATATTGCATGATTGAATTATTAATAATTATTATCAAAAC